AGTCCCGTGACCCCCCCCCCTGGAAAAGCACCCTCCCAATGCCGAGAGCATGTGGCCCGCTCATCCCTCCCCCTTTCCTGCCCTACCAGTGCTCGGATTAAGGGTCTGGTATGGGATTTTGAGGATGATGCAATCAGTCAGAGAGGCAGGGACATCGCTGGCAGTGGCCGGTTGTCTGTTGGCTGTCAACCCAGAGGCATCCTTAGTTTTTTTTGCCATTAGTTGCCAGGAGCTCGGTACGATGCTGGCAAGAGCATCCCAGGTTGCAAAGAGCTGGTCCTTACACATCTCTTCACCTGGCTCTTAGCAACTTGGGATGCTCTGGCTGGAAAAGGTGTGGCAGGCAAACATTGTGCAGCAGAACGGCCACACCACACTGCCTGCCACCCCCCATGAGATGTCGCCTGAGGGAGACCGAGAAAGACTGTTCAGGAGCATGTCTCGCTCTCCTAACAGAAAATATTAGGTGTCCAGTGTCTCACCCAGGCTCGGATTCCCCACAAGGCCACCGAGGCCAGGCCTCTGGGCGGCAGGGCGCAGAGGGGCGGCAGTGGTGTGGAATCCCCGACGCCTGGAACATAAAGTTCCGGGCGCCGGGCGATAAGTTGCCTTCTACATTTAGTCCTGCTTTGGGAAGGCAGGACTAAATGTAGTGTGGGGAAGCCGGGGTGCACTGCGGAGCCTGGCCTTGGGGTGGCAGGGAGATTAAATGATGTGGTGAAGCCAGGATTACAACCGTGCAACACGCACTTTCAAAAACAAGTCAGCTACAGCAGCTCATGTACCTCTTTGCCGACAGGTTCCTTTAAAAGGAAAATAAAAAATTAGATTGCAGAAATATTCTACAAGCAGAACACAAGCACCTACTGAGCAGATAATAAAAATGAACCTTTTTTTCCCTCTGTCTGGAGGTTGTTTTATCTGTATCATTGCTTAAACCAAACTCTTGTCCTTTATGGATGTGTTTGCATGGGTAGATAATCGCCATCTAACACAGCGATCGTGAAAAGCTTCCATTTACCATTACGCCATGATGCGATGGGGAGACGAATGTGAGGTGAACATTTTTTCCATACTGCTTGACACAAAGTACTTTTTTGTCCTAATTTAAATAGGTCAATTCTTGTGGCATTATGTGAGATGCAGGAGAGATTTTCTAAAGTGCTCTTTCAAGCTACTGTAGTTTGATTAGGAGTAAAAATGATGCGTGGAAAAGAAGCACAGCATATTCCACTGAAGAGAGTCAGGAAGAGAAGGCAGACAAATGGATGGGGCATGTTACAGGATATCATATGACACAAAGAAGACACAAAATAACACTGGGACAGTGTAAGAGGTCCCTTATTTCTGGGGTATACCTCTTAATATTAGGACAACTTCTGCTTTAAAGTAACATGTGGTAAAATGTGCACTACCACACTGCACGTGAACGCCCGTGCAAGTACTGTATTGTAGCACGCACATGCCGTGAATTGTGGTGTGCTGCATTTGCCCATTGTGATGTATTGGCAGCCCATTTGAAATGAATGGGCTGCCTTGACGCTACAGCCATTAGCACGCAAAATACTGCATGTTAAAGCACATGCAGTAATACACTGCAATGGATTGGAATAGCATGAAGGGGGCCTAATGGCTTTTAAATAATTAAAGGGAAACTGTTAGGCTTCACACCTGTGTTTTGTATACAGTATATTACAAAGATAGAGCATTTGCGTTGTATATATTAAGAACACATTTTATTTTTTAAAAATATTAAAAATAAATGTAAAAAACAAAATATATTATCGCGGACTATCTGGATGACATTTGTATGTACTTTGTGCTTTTCTTAGTGGTGGTTGCAGTGAGTTACTGAACTCCCACATTATAACTTCCCTTTGCACTGCATTGAAGAAACATATTACAAAAGGGGTTCTCAAACTTTCTAAGAAAAGGGTCAGTTCACTGTCCTTCAGACTTTAGGGGGGGCAGACTGTGGTCAGTTGGAGTAAAAATAGCCCCAGAGTTGGTAGTCAGTGTAAATAAAAAAGCCCCAGATGTCCTAACACTGGTCGGTGGGAATAATGCTTCATTGTGTGTTAGTGGGATGAATAGTGCCCAATAGTTGGTGTCAGTTCGAGGAATAGTGCCCCATCGTTGGTGTCAGTGGAAAGAACAGTGCCCCATCCTTGGTGTCAGTGGAAAGAACAGTGCCCCATCCTTGGTGTCAGTGGAAAGAACAGTGCCCCATCTTTGGTGTCAGTTGGATCAATAGTGCCCCATCAGTTGTGTCAGTAGAAGAAAAATGTCCCTATCTTTGATGTCAGTGGAAGGAATAATGCGCTATCACTGGTGTTAGTGGGAGGAATAATGCCTCATTGTGTGAGTGCCCCAAGTGCCAGATACAGGCAAGCAAAGAACCATATCCTCCCCACGGTCTGCAGTTTGATCAACACCACATTAGAGGCTCAGTACAGGAGTTCTTTTTTGGTATACCCCACCCTAACTTGCCAGGTTGTACTTCCTTGTTGCACTCCCAAGCCTATACTGCATAGAAGCCATGGTTTCCATACACTGCACTGATAATGGCCAACAAGCAGTTGGTCCATGGAAAAAAGGAAGA